ATAATACTACACAAGACCAATCATACACTCTACTCACTTAGAAGTGAGGACACATGAGATGCTTTTGAATATATTAAGCCTGATAGATTTGAAGCAGGTTTCACACATGTGGCTGTAAACTAAATACAATCTGATGGTTACAGAGAAGTCATCAGGAGTAAAACTTAGCTGAACTTCCCACAAAAAGAAAAAACACATCCAAGCCCTGTGATCTAATGCCAGGCAGGGATAAGAGGGATTAAATTGAAGTAGACATGCACAAAAAAGTCTTTAGGCATCTTACTATTTTAATCAAAGTGTCCTCCAAATGGATGTTTCAATCCTTTTATGTGCTTCCTGTCTTCTTTTTGCCTATTTCATCTCTAGGTAGTGTACTAACTCCCAACAGCACATGGTTTCCTTTTCATAATCCTTGTTGGATTCAAAACTGTGAGTAGTATTTCAAAGATCATGGTTAATTTAGCAGCCTAAGAGAAAAGGTTTTGAACTTCAGTGAGAGAATAAGTCATTGTCACCTTGTCACTGATGTTTAACTTTTTCTATGTCAAACAAGTCAAGACCTCTAAGCCTCAACAGATTATCCTACTTGATATAAGTATATAAGTACCGTATATACAGGATTATCCCATGTGCTGACAGCCATTTCGTTGTCCTCACCTTTACTGTTCCCACTACCGTTGTGCAAAAAAAGAGAGACATTAAAGTCCAGTATATGTATACCCATTTGGCCATATTGACACATAAAGTTGAATTATCTATGTACACGCTATGTCCTTTTTATCACCTCCTTTATTTTATTTGCTCTCCCATTCCCTTTAATGATTGAAGAAAGCCATGATTTAAACTCTGTGGTATTTCCTCTTCAGCTTATTTGGGATTTCACCCAGTGGTTAGGTTTTTGAAAGTTCTGTACACTGCTTCCATTTTCCATTTACATGGTAACCAGTCTTGATATATTTAGAAAAGATTTTGAATGTCTGAAATCAGTAAAAGAGTGCAGAAATCTCCCTAAAATCTATATTTTTATGGACAAAGCTAATTGGAAAATCTCAACCAATTGTGTACATTTTGAAGATCAGTGGTGTTTCATCTAGCTGTTAAAATGGACTGGCACATTTCAGGATTCAAATTCCTAAAGCAACATACAACAAATACAAAAAATAAAGAATAGCTATCTTTGGCCTCTCGCTGGTTATCAGATAAAGCAGCAGCCTCTTGGATCATAGTTATGAGTCTGATAGAATCTTCTTGGGGTGGGTTCATACTTTTAGTTAAACTTTTAGAAGAACTGACACAGCTTTTAATTGTCAGCTAACACAGCATACAAAAGAAATACAGCGGCTAGTTTGTAGTTTTAGGTGCTGTCCTTCAGTAGAAGTGGAACGCACAGAGCCAATTGAAAGGAAATCTAATAATCGTAGGGTCACTATGTACAGGGAAACATAGGTGTATTTGCTTGAGGCCAAGAGGGGTTTTCACTATATTTGCTTACTTTTCATTTGGAATCTAATGAGCTTTTTTCACTCAGAAATGACTGATGTTTTGCTTAAAGAGGGAATATGATCAGTGATTTTTTTGTTTTGTTTGTGTGTGTGTGTGTTATATATTTTTCCATATTTGCACATACCTAATGTGATCATACAAGCACTCATGGCACATGTGTATATGCTTTAGGAAATTAATAAGTATCTCATTTGATTGTGTTTTTGCAGTGAAAGTGTAGCACATGCAGCTTCATGAGAAGGTGATTGGTTTCAGTCCTCTTTTTGAACTGTGATTTCCTGGGCAAAATTTAAAAGTGTTTCCACTTTTTTGAAGTATATTAATAAAGTGTGCTGCAAGTGATACACCTGGGCCCTGAACACACACAGGCACTTGGTCCATCAATATTTTTCCTGAATGAATCTGTCATTAGAGGTGGTAGGAAACTGAAGTACACGTCCCAGACTGCTGACAGTTGACTGCATTTGTTATGCTAAAGATTTTGTTCCACTATGACAGGACATGATGTCATTGGACAAATGAACAATTATGTCTTTTTGACTTTGCTTTTCCCTGCCAAACCTCTTTGCAATTACATAGATACTATTTGAAAACACACCTGCCATTCTGGACTTCTGGCCAGCAGTAGGCTTGAACTCAAATATGTGTTTTAATAATTTTTCTAACATGATTCATCCCCAGTTACACCTCTTGTTGTCAGTAATAAATGTTCAGCACACAAAACACTTCAAGCATGGATACTGTTATTGAAGTGCATTACAACTCTTAATTTCCAGTTCTGTCGTATTTGCTGCGGTTTATTTCACTTTAGCATGAACACACCAGAAGGCAAAGTTGTGTAATAGATATTCCACTCTCAAATTACGCCTCCAGCTTTCTTTAATTTTTTCTTTTTCTCGGTTCTATTTTTAATTCAATTCAAGATTTTTCCGTCAGCTTCAAGAGTTGTTTTCCCACAGGTCTACACTAACAGAAAATGAATTTCCATTTTATTGTGGTAGAAAAAAATTCCAGTTTGCTGAGCCCTGTGAGTGGCTTGTGAACACATTGACACCATGCAAATGTGGTCCATCGCCTCCCAAGCACGTGACAGACCGAACCCAGTTCTGTGAAAGTCTTCTGTCCCTGTTCATCCTGCCCTGTCATGGAACTTTCCCTCTCTTCCTCGCTCTACCCCTCTTTCTCTTTCATTCTCTATCTCATGTTAGTGGACCTACACACACAGCCTATCATTTCGTGGTAGGCAGACATTGTCACAGACAAGCTGCTTCCAGCACTGTGTTATATTCACCCGTACAGGGCTATTACACATAGTTGTTTAGAGTAACGATCAGAACCTCTTACTTATGCATCTTGGTCTTGAGTGTTCATCTTAACCTGAGTTTCTTCTACTTTTTCTCTGTATGTTTCTCTTTTGGATCCGTCAGTGCTGTCTACAGTGCCAGTGCTCCCCTTTTCTACCCTCTGTTGCCTCTGTTGGCTTTGTTTGGATACTGTAAATGTTCCTCACTGACTATAAACAAGTCAAATCTCAAACATTAAACAGCAGAGTTGGAGTTACGGGTAGATGTTTGAGTTTAACGCTGTAGTCAAATAGAATGTGGTGGAAGATGCCAGTTTGTTGACATTTTAAGCCTAAGGACTGCACAATGTCAGATTAAAAGATGGTCTTTAACTTTGTACAAATAGTTAAGTAAAAAAGGGAAGGTAAGATATTCTTATCATTATCACTCTATAATTTATTGTACAGGTTTTTTTTCTCATGGCCTGATGCATTATCGTAAAGAGAACTGGCATATTGTTTTCTTTAATTTTCTATAAAGCTATATTTTCTGTTATTAAAGTAACCATTTAGACATGTGACAGTGGCATACTATTCCTGAGTACTTGAAGGTGTTATGTTTTTATTCGCTTCTTTGCCATGTTTGTCTGAATTCCAGATTCAGGGAGTAACTGCGTCCCTAGGAATAGGTAAAGATGATAGTATATTATTTGTTTATGGAAAAGCACAATTTGATGCCTGGCAATATCTATTTCTGTCAGTTTGCCTTCCGATTTTGATCCGATACCCAGCAAATTAAGACTGAGTCCCCAGAATGTGCAGAATACTAAGTATCCTGCTGAGCTTATCTAACCTATTGGCTCTAACTTCTTCACCCCAGAGAAGCTAAGGTTGCTCTCACTACAACCTGCATCAGGGCTGGAGCGCACACTCACCCCGTCACTGAGACATTCTGCCCTTTTTGATGTCATCTAAGTTATGCAATCTATTTACTAGTAGTACAATTATTTGTGTGATGGTTTGGAGTAACTATATACTTAACATGACTTCCATTTGGTAAGTGGGATTTTCCTATAATTGTTAAATTTTCACTAATAGTATATGAGTATATGTGTTTGAAAAGTTCTGTGAATATTTGCGGGTTAAAGAATTGAAAATCTATTGGTGACGTTTTTTGTTCATTCCCTTGATCTAATCCAGTGTTATTTAAACTATAAGAATTTCCAACACTAAGAATTTATTTTAGTAATCAAAATGTTCATTTCTGAATGCAGTGTACAAAACGATGTTGTGATAAATGGCGACAAATTTAGTCCATCATAATTTGGGTAATTGTAATATGTAATTTTTATATGTGTGTTTTAGTTTTTTATTTATGGCATGGTTGCTGTACTCATATGATGCAATTGAGAAAGTAAACGCAGAGGTACAATATTGCCTTCTTCTGTGTATGTATGTCTATAATAGAATTGAGCTCAAAGCTTCACATTCTTTTTTTAATCAATCCTCAAATGATGAGTCATTCTAACACCCAATTGATATGAAATTGACTAGGTTTCTTTTCTTCCTATTGGTTAAAATATTTATTTTGTATCCTGTTTTCTTTCATGCTGGCCTATATCATTATTTGAATATTGATTTAGAATGACCATAGTATAAACCTTGTGTAGTAGCCTCAGAGTTGAGACAAGCGTCATGGTGCTGAAACTCTTTCTCTTACTTAACCCTACTCAGTTATGCAGCACAGCAGATAGTGTTGATGAATCCACTCCCACCTGCCCTTAGAAAAGACTAAAAGCTACATGTCAATATGCAAAAGTGTTACAATTTCACCATTGTCAAAGCCTTTTTATCAAAAGTCAAGTAATATGACGGGAATTTGTCTTTAAATCTCTCTAACTTGTTTTAGTCCTTTTAGTCCTTTTAGCACTTTGTTTGAACTCCTTTGAAAGCTAAGAAATCTTTTATAGAGAAACTACAAAACAAAAAGATGAGCCGTACTGTATAAACAGTCGTCATATAATGGTTGTGAACCTTTTATTGGCTATTTGCAACTATTCTGTGCTTTTTGAGGTCCATTACATTTCATTCCTAGAAAATGGTGACGGAAAATGACTTCAAAAGACTGAGACAGCTACAAGGATGGCAATCAAGTGACACTGACTTGGATAACATGTCTTCTTGTATACCATTATTTTTCTCCCCCTTTTTCTAGTTGGAGCTGCAGCCGTGCTGCGTGTTCCTGCCAAATGATAGCCTCCCCTCTCCCAGCACTATCATCTGTGGTGACATACCTGGCACCGTCCGTAGCTGGTACCACAACCAAGCCGCCATGCCTGGAACGCTGGTTATCTGTTTTCCCCAGATTAGTGTCCTCAGTGCTGGACACAAATACATGGAACCTCTACAGGAGCTCCCGTTTGTTGTCTCAAAGCCCATCTTAGAAGAAGGTACGTTTTCATTTTCAAAATCATTTAAATTAGCATGACTAACATAATGGGTGACAAACACATACATGGACACTTTGTGTAAACCCCCAATGACCTATGTCAAAAAGATTGATGTGAAAAATTGTAAGGGAAACTATGTTGGTGTTAGTAACAGATTTCAGATTAAAGAATTGAGCTTAAACACAAATGGAAAAGGTTCAATTTAAATTTTTTTTGTTAAAACAAATGGTTTGATAACAGTAATAGGCTATACAATGGGACTTTATCATCATTATGTTCTTTTCAACACTTGGCAAACCTTTGACCTACCACCACTCATTTACTTTGACAAAAGGCAAACAAACTTAAGCAGAGTGAGTTTGAGAGATATGTCCTCAACATGTGGCATGCACACCTGGTAGAGTTGATACTAGCAGCACTTAGAAAGAAGTGTGTGTTTTTTTTAATTTTAAGCCGACGAAGAAAAAGGAGAGGCAACTTTTTTCTTCGCCCTTCAGCTTTTCAATGACATCAGCATTGGACATACATATTTTAAAGTCCCTGGAGAATGAAAAAACACTGTAAAAACAGTGACATCAGCATGTTGATGTTAAAGCAGAAATTAACAGCTCAACTTGGAGTGATTTATTCCTGACCTAAACTACTAAACACTGAAATATTAAACATAGACTCATAGGGTGAAAATAGGATTACCTTTTGAGATGTTTTAGGAACCCACCTTTAAGACAAACGTTGAGATTTCATGAGAAGATGCCATTACTTTATTTTCCACTGCATAATAATTATTCTTTATTTTCTTACTCCTTTTTAAGTTTATACATTATATATACTTTATATAGATAGCGGGGTGTTGTTGTTTTTCTCTTTTAAAAATCATATTAAACAAATGCAGGGATATTAAAGGGAGTGCAACCATAATGTTCTGTTTTTGATTATGATACCATAAGAAATTATTTTAAGAATGAAGAAAAAACGATAAAGTACATCCTCTCAAATACGTTTGTTCTATTTGTGCATAAGTCATTTGTCTCTCTTATTGCTTACCTTAAACTGTTGGTGCATTGTGCTCATAGTCTTTTTCACAATTTCTTTACTGTTGTTCACTACTTCTCCTTCCTCCACTTGTGCCCAACTAGGTGATGCATTCCCATGGACAATAAGCCTGAGTCAGTTTAGCATCTACACGTTGTTGGGACAGCAGCAAAGCCTCAGCCTGTTGGAGCCTATGGGATGCACGTCCACCCTGGCTGTTACATCCAAACTGGGCAGTTCTGAAGGAAGACACTCTTTTGTAGTCTGCCTCCATGTTGATCTACAGCCGCTCAAAGTCAAGTGCTCCAAGCCTCAGGTCAGCCAAGTATCCAGAAATTCACAACGTAGTAGTCATTAGGAATTTGTGTATTTATATAAATCATCTCTGTGTAAACCTTTCTGAAAAACAAACCGACAAACGTCTAGCAAGAAAATCCTGCCTCTCTATCACTTTCTAATGCAGTAAATAAACCTTGCATCATTTAATTTGAATGAAAGTAGAACTGTAAACATGAGTGTTGCCTTGTTTTAGGTTAAATATTTTGAGTTCATGGTTAATAACAGTGGGGAATTGCAGATCTCATCATTGTTTTGCAATGTCTTATAATGCTTTAGGGACAGCATAATGAATACACACAGATTGGGAACACGATTATCTCCAGGTTGGGTCCCAGAGTAAATTTTCACTGCTTTACGACATTATAATCATGTTTTATTTTTCCCCCCATTTATTTCGCTTTTTGGAGCCAGGTTCCTATGTAAACACCTAATGCAAGTGACCCTTTCAGAGGTAACACTGTTAACGTTATCGACCATAGTAGTGTAAGCCCCAATGATACTGAGGCAAATTGGTTCCACAAACAAATGAGGGTCTCAATTCAATGGAGGGGAAACTTTCCTCAAGTAAAAGAAGTGAGCAATCGCTCTTTATGTAAACTCAAATTCACACATGGTAAAACATCTTTAAAAAGACATTTCATTTTTATTTACCCAGCAAAATTGCATTCTTATAACTGCTCCTAAACTGTCAAATGCCTTTTTGTTGAATTAATTAACATATGTGTTATGTTAAAACACTAAATATGACCAACTTTGAGTCCACTAAGAAGAATAGGCTCAGTAGCAGTACTTTTACTGTGAATACTCACAATCTGTAATCTCTCATTTCCAGTTCCATCTTTGTTTTTGGGAATGAACACAGGAGCTCTTAAGACTACCCAGAAATGTTCGCTCATCCCCAGTGGATAAAATGTTGCTTCTTGATTGTATGAAAGTAGATCAAGGTTAATTGTCAGATGGTGCTTATGTTTCAACCCGATGTTTAATAAAAGACGAACCAGTAGAAAGAATCATTAACCACATAGGGGTTAAAGTTCTGCCCAGACAAGATCTGAGTAGAGGTTTGGTGGAAGGAATCTGAGATCTTCTAAATAGCTCATCTTAAGGGATGCAAGTAAATTCCAAATGCTAAAACCAATATACTTCTTTATGCCATTTTAGTCTCGCTCAGCACACTCCATTCTTTTTTCCTTTGCTCAAAATTCTTCATTCTCTTGTTCCACATCTGCTTCTGAAGGCAGTAGGCCTCGATGTGCTTGGTTGGCGTTCCAATTCCAAAAAAATCAGAGAGAGGGGAACATGGCGTTGTATCTCCCCTGCCAGCAATGCAGTTTGGTTGGGTATGTTAGACAGCTGTTGGCCTCGGCCCTGGACGGCAGCTGGATCGACATTAGCAGCTCTTCCTGGACATGTTTGAGATGGCCAGGCTATAATGTATTGTGCTGTTTTTAATTAGATTTATGCTAACTTTTGGAAGGCAGTGTGTCCACTCATAGGAGTGTGTGTACTTTATCGTGCATCAGAAAGTGAGTTGGGTTTGGGGCTCGAAATTCAGTTTTAGAGTTTGCTCTTTCTGTGCACCTTAAAATTCAAGGGATCCTCAGTGGTGGAGGTTGGGTGGAGGAGTAGCTGGCTGCAGAGGCGAGGTATTTGAAATCCAGAAATTAGCTCATTGCTAAAGCGTGTTGCTTTTCTCCCTTTCTTTCCTTCTCTGCCCCTCCTAAAAATACTGTGTGAATGCATGAAAAACTGAAAGCAACACATCGCATTCCCCTGTTCTTGCCTCATGTTTTCCACTTTTGTTTTGGACTTTTCAGTTGCCAAGACCTTATTAAATGTGAAAACATGATAAAGAGTTGAGAAAACTTGACAGTGAACCTTCAGTTTTTCCTCATCATGGTGAGCTTTTCAGAGGAAATTGATGACACAAGTTAACTTTCCTCTGTGGGTTTTTTCCTTGGAAGTTTGTTGTTATGGAGAACACGTTTGTATAGTAAAGCACGTTTATTAGCATGCTGAGTTTTTGAGATGATGACCTGTTACGTAAAACTTGAACTTGGTCTAAAATTAAAATAAGAAATTTGAATTTATAGTTTATCGGCTATGAATTAAGATCTCATTCTCTTTCTTTTAGCCTCAATTTAAACTAGGTTTATTGTCACATATCTGCATAGGTGCAAAGCTAAGCCTGATTAAGTTCCCAGAATTCAAAACGGTGACACTCCTACTTGCAGCTGTTTGTTAAATACTTAATCTACGTGTGATGTTAGTTATCTTTCAAAGTAAGCTATTAACTAGACAAGTGTTGTATTATAAGTATATTATGATAAAAGAAAGAACAGGTTGTTGTTGTGTACAGTATGGGTGTTCCTTCCCAACCAATAGGAGGTGTTTAATTCTTTGAAGGTACATTACTCTTATTTGCCTATATCCCTCTCCAGGTTCAACTCTTATATGAGCTCCTTCTCAGCTGGAGCTTTACGTGGGCCCGTCTCCAGAAACATGGTATTTTGCGTCAGACCTCCAGCATCCCAGATCCCCCTGCTGGTGCCACTCCTTCCTCCCCAGTGCGCAGCAGTGCTGGAACTGCCCTGCCCGACACCAGCACCTGCAGCCCTTCTGCAGATTTCGGGTCCCCCACTGAGGTTTGTTTTGACTTTACAACTGCACATGTGTTTTTGTGCTGTGCTGTGATATTTTTGTTATTCTTCTTTTCCTTTTTTTTTCACCAGCATAAACACCTTGTTACAATTAAGCAATGAGAATGATGGAAGAAAAAATACTTGCAAATGCCATAAAACAGAAGTTATTTGGTTGATTTATTCCCTCATCAGTTTATTTTCTTCTTACTTTGCATTATGAGAGACGTTTTAATCATCATTGTAGGTCAGTGTATTTTCCTAATGATTTTTTTACTATCTGATTCCCAAACTAAAAAAGTGCACCATGTCACCACTTAACAAGAGGTTTAAGCAATCAAAGTATCAAATAGTCATGCAGTTACACAGGATAATTAAACCTTTGTTTTGTGCATAATTCAAAATGCGAACATTATTTTATTGGTATGAGTAGTCAGCACAGTTTATAAAAAGTTTTGCTTAAGAATAATTTTTTAAACTGGAAAAATCTCCTTAGAGCTTGTAAATCTTCCAAATTCTGCAAATTGGTATGAGTTGGCTCAGTTTAATCTATTTTAGCAGTGGCTTGATTGAGTATAATTTTTGGATAATATTATTTTATACCATTATACTGTTTGATTTGAGTTCTAGCTCAGACAGCAGTGTTGCTTAACCACAAGCATTCTGTCAGCATTAACAAAACACTTGAAGATAACAGCCCGGATCATGTCCCAGGGGTCATTAGAAGGTACACATGTTCACGTGAGAAAGAAATCTTTCATTTTTCAGTTTGGTATCTGTGTTTGAGTTTGATTTTGTGATATCAACATGAGTGTGTTTCTGTGGCATTTGTAGACTCACAGAAGTCACAGTCCTTTAGTGTGACCATGGAGGGCCGATGGAACACTGGAGTCTGTAACGAGGCCTCAGTGGCCCCTGACAGCCCACTTGTCACTGTTTACATAAGAACAAACACTGGTACAAGTGTTTAGTCCTCTGGGAGGCTGGGTGGTTGAGCAAGATTGTAGGAGCTGTTTTGATAAGTCTCAGCAGTAGTTGCAGCATTTTCTTTCCAACAACCTCAAACCCTCACCCTCTCTTTCTGCAGTCACATACTCATAGCACACACACCCACCAGCTATAGTCTTTGTCAACCTTCTAAATATCAAGTAATTGAATAAATACTTCTATGTATTATATTTAGTATATTTACTTATAAAAATTGATGTAAGAATTAATTTTTTAAAATAAGTTTTAATAAGAATAATCCTCTCTTGTTCTTGCCTGTTTACTCTGTTTATTATACTTTTAATTTAATACCAACTTCATACAAGTTTTTATGAAAAAACAAATTTTGAATGGCAGTACATTCTATATATTCCAACATTTTAAGCAGCACCAGCCCAAACTAGAGAATCATCTCTTCCAAAAGCTACAGTATTTACCTATCTGAAGCCATTCCCACCAATATCTTAATTACAGTCTTTTGTTCCCACCTGTCCCACACTTCCATTGCATTCTTCTCTCATAATCAGCATTTTCCTCTATTTTTCTTTGACACCTTCTGACCTGCTGTTGTTTTCCAATGTTTGAATCTCTCTGATGAGCAAAGACAAACTGTGTAGAGAAAATAAACCTGGATCCTCAGCCCGTTTATAACACTGAGGCCCAGGAATTAAACTGTATACTTTACAACTTGGCTTGTAGAGGTGTGGGAAAATAGCTCCCTCCAAGAGTGTGTGTGATTGTTTGGGGCCCCAATCTGGCAACTCATGAATGTGGCAGATCCAACCTCTATCATATCTATTTGGGTGCATTTGTCATAAAGACCTTTTTTTTTTCCCTTTCTTATTATTTTTTCCCCATACAACACCAGAACATCTTTTTATACTGAGTTCAGTATTACATTTTTTATATCAATTCCAACAATGTACTTTATGACCGTCACCTTTGTTAAAAACCATCCATCTTTTCTCTTTTTCTAAATGATGGAAGACTCTTTTTCTCAACAAATTCATGCCATATTCCCCTTTTATCCTGTTCAGATGTAGCTAAGAGGCTTCAATGGCAGTCATATTCCCATCATTTTTCTTTCTTCAGACCCTCATAAAATCAGTCTGTATGAGAATGAGTTTGAAATTGACAGCAGCTGCTATGGGTGGGAAGTAAGAGCACCCGAGTGTCCGATGCTGAAGAACAACCACGCAGAAGTAGACAGTGGTCTTAGTTTCCCACAGTGCCAGCGACTGGCTCCCGTTTCCAAAAGTGCATTAGAGTGTCTAATCCTACCGACTGGTTAGGACTATGATCTAAACAATCCTAACCAAACACACCCATATGTACACACAGACTCTAGCTTTTTTTGTTTTGTTTTGACTCCTTCTCAGCAAAAATTAGTCCCCAAATGGCAGTTGACACACGAATATGTCACTGACACTAACTAAACAGCTTTACTTCTCCTTACTGCACATATTACTTGCTACCAGTTACAGTTGTTTTACACTGTCAAAACCATAAGAAATATAAGTCATATAAGAGAAGACACACCGTGTAACTCTGCTTTACCTAAGTTCAGACCAGCATTGTTTTTTATCCAACTGTGTACTCTTTAGTCACATCAAATGTGTTTGTATGGTACTTTTCATGTACAAACTATTTAAAGTTCTTGACATAATGTCAAAACACTACAGTGGGGAGTGAAAGAAGCATTAATAAAAAAGTGTATAGAAAACTTGAATCGCAAAAACTTAGAAGTCAGCTCTTCTACTCTGTACACAGATGCAAAGGGCAGATGCTTCTAGTCATTGTCTAATGGTCCCCAATCTATTTTTGTATCTGCATAATCCTTATGTTGTTAATGTTGTTGTCAACTGCTGTTATGTGCTCTGCTTTTTGCCTCCCCAACTGTGTGATGAAATTAAATTAGCAAATTAGTGTTGCCCCCTAAAAGAAATGTGGAAAGGGGACATATTTTCCTCATCTGGATCCTCTTTTGGACACTGTAATCAACCGTAGCAGCTGTGGGGTTTCTAATTGAGATGGTTGATAACCTCCTCACCAACCACAGCCAGGCTCAATAACACATGACACAATCTGTCATTACCACACAACGATGGAAGAAGCAGTGGAAAAAGTGAAATTCTGTAATGCCAAATCTGCAAATGGTCATTTTGTTTGTTGGCAGGCTTTTCACTTCAGAGTTAGCCACACTGATACATGTTTTGAAGAGACCAGGAAGAGAAAAGGAGAAATAGAAATGTCCCTAGTTTTGTCCCGTGCTGTCAGTGCTTTTCCAAAATCTGAATTATCCTCCGAGTTGAGGGCCCACAGGAGGCAGCCTCTTTCACCGCATCCTGCTTGCCTCTCTCCACCTCACCAGCACCTTCGCCCCCGCCTCCGGTCCTGACTTCCTATTCTCTCCCAGGATGCGAGACGTGTGTGTCCTGCTGCACTTGAGTGAAAGGATTCCATGTGGGTGCTGGTGGCTCAGTTTGGGGTTAACACCAATGACACCCCACCCCCACCTCACCCCCCAGTCTGTTCTGTGTGGAGTTCTGCTCACCAGACACTGATGTCATCTGCACACAAAAAGGCTCAGTTGTTGGTTGCTTTGTTATGGCTACATGCACAGCGACAAACATACGCATTCACACATTCAGCAAACACATGGTTGGGTGCATGCCTTAAAATATATTGGCACTTGATTTGAGCAGAACTGTCTACATTTTGAATTACGCTTTATACTTCTACATGTATTCTTTCATAAATGGTACTCTTTATGTTCGCGTGCTGCATAATAACTGTCAATTCTAAAACTACAAGCAAAAAAGCTTTTTTCAGAGGTTGTCTAACATTTCATTTAGTCAATGTTATGGCTTTCTCCCTTCAAACACCTGTTTTACCTTCTTAGGCTGACTCAGTTCCTGCTGGAGATGATGGTCCATTTGCTGACACAGTGACACTGGAGCAGAAAACTAGCAGCTTTGAGGGAACCAGTGGGAAGGTCAGCCTTTGGATGCAGTGGATGTTGCCCAAGGTTACAGTTCAACTGTTTGCTCCTGACCCTACTACCAGAAAGACAGGTACATTAGCATTGGCATAATTCTTACTACTCTTTTTTCTCTCTTTTCTCAATACATTTTATAAACAAACAAAATAGGAATGCAGATCGAGGTTTGGAGGGAGGGAAAGACTAATAAATAAACAGTCTGCCTCATGTCACCTTTAGATTTACAGGGCTTTGAAAGGCTAGATTTACCTTTAATTGGTGGATACAATATTTAGCATCTGTCAACCAGATCAGCCTGCTAAAGGTCTCTAACAGTAGAGGTGGAATGTTTTGGAGGACCTCCCAGAGATGGTTTGACTTAGAGACATATTAAATAGGCATTACTTTGGATTTGGGCTTGATATAGGCCATGTGAGTTCCTGCATGACCTTAACCGCAGATTTTCTGTATGCAACACATTATGTATTTTAGTAAAAACAAAAAAATAAGTCTCAACTCAATTTATTTAGTTCTGATTGTCACAACTCTTCTTAAGACCCAATCAGTTCAAAACTTGAATATGTGACTTTTCAGATAAACCATGTGGTTGCCAATACTCTTTATGGCTTTCAAAAATTCTGAAATTGGTTTCAAGTCTCTGTCGGAGACTATCGGCTTCACGAAGAAACACTGTCCATTATAGAATTGAAAGTCTTGTTCCAAGATGTTGATGACCTCTAAAATCCCATTTCACCACAAGGTTTACAAAATGACAGCAGCCCAATTTCCCAATCTAGCTTTTGAGTGTGGGAGTTTCTCAGTGGAAACAGATATTCAACAGTTAAGCTCAGAGGCTCTGTTCAGCACAAAGTAAATCACTCCATCTGTGAAGCGTACTTGTTTTTAACACAGTGTGCAGCTTTGTGTATACACAAGATGCACAAAGGCACACTTACAACTTCAGCAATGAACACAGAAGAATTGAAATACTTAATTTCAAATTTGAATCTTTTTCCCCCAGATTGGTAGTAAGATAGGAAGCAATGATAAGAAAATATTTTCTTTTGTTGTTACATGACACTATATCGACGTGTAAGGAAGTATATGCATATTCCTTTCAGGGGTTGTATTTGCATATTCAAAGGATTCAAGCTTTCTGCTCTCCAGGTACAAAGAAAAAATAAATAAATAAAATTAGAGAAACCATGACAGCAGAATCAAGGCTTGAGTGAAGAGATGGACTGGATTGAACCAAAATCACAGATCCTTGCCCACAAAAATTAAATTCAAATAGCATTCAGGAAATATTTGCTCCAGTGGTCAAATTCAGATGTGTTGCTACTATTTCTGGACAAAGACGTGACCTATTGCTAACTTAAATAAAAATAGAAGACATGGAATTGGGGTTTTTTTCTGTTCCCCCAAGGTTAGTTTATGTTCTTAAAATAATAGCAAAACCCCATAAAACTCTGTATCTTTTGTTGGTACTTATTGAATGTGTGTGTTTCTTTCAGAGATCTGTGTCATCGGTGAGCTAGAAGACCTGAGTGCCTCTGTAGATGTCCAGGATGTCTACACAAAGATTAAATGTAAAGTTGGCAGCTTCAACATTGATCAATATCGATGCAGGTACAAGTACATCAGCTATCCCATATTCAATTATTATGTTTGGACCCTTTAGTTTAGGGGGGATTCTTCTTTTTTTTCCCCTGCCACTTCACCATACTCACACCATACCCATTCTTTATAGTATTCATAAATGTGAATGAGATTTACAGAAACATTTACAAGTTGCCTGAAGAGGATAACCTACGAGATATTTTCAATTGCATTCCTTCTTTATGACAATCCGTTTGAAATGTGACAATTTGCCTCCTGGTTGTGAAGAGATGAAGCAAATACAATACTATTTTCAACCTCCTCTTGTTCCCAAGACTAAAAGGGTTCCTCCATGCCTCATCATTGTGCTACTTTTTTCATTTGATGTGTTAAGTAGTCTTATTTCACTTTTGTATTTTTTTCTCGCTTTTTCCCCCCCTTGTCATGGGCCAAAGTTGAGTCAGCAGCTCAATCTGTGAACTTTGCCTAAGGCCTGGTTTTGTTGGGAAGAGACCACTTAGCAGGAGGCAATTCCCCCTGTCTGGATTTGAGGAGATAATGAAGCAGCAATCAGACTGCGCAGCATGTACTATCCAACACTGTGTACATATGTGCCTTTTTTGCAGGTCTATATGGTAATGTGCCTCCATAAATACTCTATGTTCCCAAGTGCCTATTGTTTTAAACAAGCCAGCAACAAGACGGAGTTGAACCCTCACAGGCCCCAGCTTTTAAAATCACTTCAGTTGGGTCTAAAGCTAGTCAGTACAGGTCAGAGAGGGACTGAAGTGGCTTCCTTGGCTTTGAACCTCAGTGTCAAACAAGCATTACATAGACCTCCCTGTTTTGGTGTAGCTTAGTTCAGTCGGAATTCTGTCAGGCCACATGTGTTTTGTACAGTAAAGCATATCGGTATGTGCCAGGTCAGTGTCAAGGGGTTGACATTTTTTTAGAATGTAAAGATATTTTGGGTCATTATGTCGTTCTGTTTTGGTCCCTACCGGTGTGTGTCCAATAGCTTCTGAGACTATGCCAACACTTATCTCTTTGCTCTTGCTTTCTTAAGTACATAATTAGCCAATTTTCTCATTTTCTTGCTTATTTCAATGTGATATGTGACTACAACTAGCTTTAACACACCATAGTTCTTGTTGGCAGAAGCACTTCATCATCCAAGCCAGGTTGTAGTCACGGCTGTTCCGGAGAGTGGAGGACTTCGAGGCAGCGGGCCCATTCTAAACTCTATCATGCAAGAGAAACCATAGAGATTGGAGTCTGTATTAATCATTTTGAACAGATAATTGCTTGGTATTTAATCACCTAGCTGAGGTTATTTGTGCACCGTGGGTCAGACTAGATCAAGATTTACAGTGAAAAATGTAATTTATGCTTATGCTATGTGGAACATATAGACAAATATACAATGGAATTCCTGATTGTATCAAAATAAGATATTGAAAAGACTGGATGGAGTGAGGGAGAAAAAATGTAGCGAAGAAGCCCATTGAGAATTCAAAATAGGTGTGCATACGGCATGGGGTTAGTGATAGGTAAGAAGGGCAACATAGTAGGCAACACAAAAATGTATAGGGGTAATTATAAAACCCACAGGGGATTTTTCCTGTATAGCAACTTCAAAAGATTACAAAGCCTCTCCTTGTTTTAGTCTTCATAAGCAGTGGTGTTGATTAAACTGATGTGTTACACAGAGATGCTCCCTAAGGGTGCCCAGTGACATTGCCTCCTTCTTTGCTCCAAGCAAATCACTCACACTGAAGCTGATATCTTCCAGCTGTTCATAAAAAGCTAGGAATAAAGTATGGTTGGTTTGGAGCACAGGGAGAGAAAAGAGAGATGATAAACCATATGAGTCAGCAACACACATGTTCTTATATATGTATTTGGTCTCTGTTTCACAGGTGCTTGCTACTTTTTGTGTGTCACTACAACAAATAATCAAATCCTGAAGTGTCCAAAAATAAAGTTTAACTGCAATATTTACAACACGCTGTGATGCCGTCAGCGAAATTCTGTGTTGTAACTAATGTTGGCTTTCGAGTAATAGAATCAGCTTCTTCACAGCAACACTTGTAGTCCCACATGTCCATATTAAGCTTGGCCTTGCGTGTCTCTGCAGGCCAGGGCAGGGCTGGCACTCTGGCAGCTATGAAGGACTCATTCTGCATTGCAAGGAGACAGCTGTGGTGAGGCTCATGTGTGTCCCGGAGCAGCTATGGTGGCCTTAGCCTTCTGTATACTGATTGCCGCCCTGCTTCTTCTAATCAAGGTTCCTCATCTTCGCTCTTGCTGGACAGACAGGAAAACATAGAGGAAATGACAACACTCTGATTTTGGATACAATGCGGCCAGTAGAGAAGTGATGTGTTGTACATCTTAACTTCAAAAACACAGAACCAAATGACTCATTGATTCCGTACTGTGTAAAAAACACCTGTCTCTCCAGTAACTTAATACACAAACCAATAAAAATCCGGTGACATTCTTCTTCGTGTGTGTTGGAGGAGACTATGATATGGGCATCCATTGGTGATATAAAAATATATACAATGATTTTTGATGATATCTGATTTGGAAATGGTCTTATACTAGCATCCAAAACATGTATGTTTTTCTTTTTAGTTATTTTTGTGTTCATAGCATTTTGGTGGATCTAAACTGTGCTGTTTCAGTTTTGAAACATATAAACTAAACAGCTGGTTCAATGCTTATTTTCATGGTTAGTATAAGACCATTCCTTAACTTTTCTCCTGATTCAAGCTGGTGCTGATTTCTATGATGGTATTAGTTTGTATTCTATCTAATCAAACAAAAAATGGTTCACGCTTATCTGGCTTTCATTCCCTTTTTCTTTTTTTCCTTATCTTTCTGATCCTTTACATTTCCTCCCCCCTCTCTGATCCACATTGCCTTATTCTGCATCCACTTTCTCATCTCCTTCCCTCTACTCACCTCCAGTTTGGAGGAGGGTGTTCGGAGCTCAGGCAGCTGCGCAGGAGTGGTGCTCTCTTGTACTGATAAGCTGAACAGGCGCACCGTGTTGGTTCGACCCGTCAGCAAGCAAGACTCTTTCAGCCCCTTCTCTGGCTTTTTCCCTCCTGTAAGAATCCAGTTATTCTTCTTTTTGTTGATTCGGTTAACATCCATCAGCAGTGGCTGAAGAGTTTTGTATGTTCCCTAGAGATATTTCAGAAATTTCTATTGATTTGAATAATTTCCCTTCTACTTCCAACCACTTAAAATCACATCATATAAGTATGACAACACAAAAAAAATAAACAACAGTAACAGTCAGTATATATTTGTTTTTATCAAAATGTTTGTAATACATGAATATAAAGTATTTTCTAACAAAAAGGTGCGGAAAAAAAAGAGAAAAATATCACTGTTAGTGGATGTTATGCAGTCTTTACTTTGGCATATAAAATCAATTAATCTGAAAAAACTTACAGAGATACATTTATTTAGTAAATTATTGAAATTTTTCTACTTTATATTTGCCTTGTAAATCAGTCTTATGATTAGAGTCTTGGAATTTTGGAAAGATATAAATCTTTTTATTGGACTCTCTGGAAAAGATTTGTGTATCCTATAAAATTTGCTGATTTGCTGATTCTTGATAAATGACTCTGCGGAATACTACAAATCCTCTCAATGCTTTTTGTTAGTTGCTACTGCTTGGCTGGCTTTAAATTGCTTTGAGAGAAAAAACACATAGCGCTTCTGTTTGGGTGAATTGAAGCCTTTTCTTTTCAAAATGAATGATCTAGTCGAAACCCTGGGCTTCTGAAAAAAAATCAGCTTAAATGAAAGTTGTTTAATGTTGAACATATAAATAGACGTATGTTCAGCTTTCTTTGTAATTGATAAAGATAAAAGATAAAGGCTCTCCATTCATTCAACACAATATTGACCAATAAAACATTGAACAGTTATTTATCTATCCTTGATCTGCGTGATGTTATCTACCGTCTGTCTGATTTGTCCTCTCACCAATGGTCAGACGGCAGCTAAGGTCCTGGAGGGCTCTCATCAGCAGCATGGCTTCATGTCGATCACCTACACTCAGGCTGTCACCAAAAACGTCCGTCACAAACTCATCACCCGACCTGAGCGTCCAACACGTGCCAGTTTTACCACTGTTACACAGCGGATGACGACGGATCAGCTGGCAGACAATTCACCTCATTACCTGAGAGAGATTCTACTAACTGCCCAGCCTTTTGATTTGGTTCTGTCCTGTCCACTTCTGGCCACTGTAGCAGGGGTTTTTCAGGTAAAAAGGATCAGCTAAATGTAATTGTCTGTGTAATAGATAATGGCTTTTTCTTCTGCAGGAGTAGGAAGAGTTTAGGTAATACATACTGTATAGTTGTATAAAATATAGTTACAGGTAATCATAGGGTAGATCAGTATAAGCTAAAGTTATTTAAAGATATAAGCTTTACCAATTTTCTGTTCTATATGGTATTCACTCAAGAGTATTCTATTAATTCAAACCACACGATAGAATGAGAAAATTGTGAAATTCATAGTAGTTATTTTTCCCTCGGACTTGATATCATTCCAGGCCACAGTACCACGACGATACAGGGAGCGTGGGAAGTCAGCAGGTCAGCCAATGAGAAGCCACACTCTGACATCTCGGTGCTTGCCTCTCATTTACATCAACACCAGCGTGATCAGGGTCTTCTGCCATGGAACACAAGATGCACAAGCCGTTTCAGGTTAGATACACATGGTAACATTTAAAACAATTGGAATTTTAAAAAAAAGTTTGTTTCTAGATCAAGGAAGTTGAATAACTGTTAAATATATCTAGAAATATATGCAGTTGGTCTGCAATTATATTTGATATGATGGAGTATTCTTGTTTTACATGCTTTTGTTGAACATCTTAAAGAGAGACTTTCTCTAAATATTTACTGATCACTGTATTCCATGCTAAAGACGGAATATGTGGGCAGTGTAACCTATGCTTTGAACACATGATTTAATTCGTGATTTGAACACTTTGGAACACTTTGGTACCAATAACAGTGATACTGTTACACATCTGGCCGATCATATTCAAACTTTTTGATTTAGACAAAAAAACACACAAAAAAAACTTATTTCATTACTTTTTTTGTATCTTATACCTAGAAGTAATTGTTTTGAACCCGTTTACATCAGAAAGTATACATTTCTTAATTTAAAAAGTGGATTTTTTTTTGTTGTTTTTTTCCTCTTTTACCAGCCAGTCTTTCCATGTTTTTAATTTTGGATTGGAACCAATTGTGTTTAAATGATGATCTTCTTAAGCTTTATACAAAGGGTTTCTCATATAAGAAATACCCATTCTTTTATACTGTGTCACAAGATGTGTTTTGCGTTCTACAAGGCTGTTGCTTATGTGAAAGGCTTTGACTTAATCAACAAGATGGGGCAGAACCACCACATCAGTGCAGAAGGACATTTGCTAAAATAAATAAATAAGTGTTCAAGACTCATTTTTAGATTGTCATCAATGTGTTGTGTCTACTTTTGTCTGTTGGTTGTACTGTAATGACTACAGTGGTAAGACTGTCCTTTAAATGCTATATAAGTCAGTGTTTTGGTGAGTGACTGAGTAAGCTTTGAGTAAATGTTTTCAACAAGTCTGGTAGTATGCTGTGTGTTTGGTAAGATTATTGCAGAGATTATAAGATTTTGTAAGATTATAGCTGACTTTCCTCTAATGATATAAAATAGTTAAGTGACTCAATTGATCACACACCTTATCCGTTTGAATTCACTCATTTTGTTTTTGCATATTTCCTTAATTGTGTCCCAGTAGATTCCAGTGAGAAGAAAGAGGACACACTCGTACTAAAGCTGGGTTCTCTCAGTATGGCTCCTCAAGCTGATAACCCACTAACCCGAACAGTGCTCCGAAAAGACATCTACCAGTAAGGCAAAGTCACCTCTCAGCAAACTGCATACTTCTGTTACTTTTGGCTTAAGAAACTTGAGCACAAAGTCTAAAAGACCACTGTGTCCAACTTTAACTTTTATTTAATACACTTATTCTGTTTTTAAAACTGATCACAATCTCACATTTTAGTTGTGTTTTGATTTAAAGGCATAATTTCAGTTCTAACCTTTGGTGGGCCAATATGCCACAGTAAAGCTTTGGAGCATGTGTATTTGATGTTTTACTGTTTGTGCCTCCCTTTGGATGTCAATGTGTCCTCTTGGGAGTCTATAATGCACTGGATAATAGCACCTCATAGTGGTTAAACTGCCCCTGCAGTGACAGAGAGCAATGAGTGACACCTTGGGGGTCCAGCAGGCCCTCCAGCTGAAACACAAGACTGTTGACACAAGCCTCCTGTGCCATGTGGATCAAAGCTGCAGGGCAAGGAAAATCTGGACTTTGGAGCGAAATAGTTCCTCGCAAAGCACATTCACTTGTATAGGCAGCAAGAATCTGGATTGTGTCATAGCTGCCTCAAAACCACAGCCCCACAGAGCGTATGCGTGCATGACAGAGAGAGCATTTGGGCAGATACGGAGCTGGCAAACACATGTAATGAGGGAGATAAAAGTGGTTCCTAATGCTTTGTGCAGCTGCAAGTGAGATGTGGGCCGATGTGAAATGGGGAAACAGAAAATGGACAACAAAAGGAGTGGAGGGGCCACTTTATTCTTCACTGCTGCCTTCAACCGGTTAAAGTGTCATATGTAGGGTTATTGGATAGAGCAGAGAGGCAGAGGTGGTCTAGGCTTGTTAGTATGTTAAAAGTACTGGAACAGTCAGGGCTCGATTGAGAAACGATTCGGTCCCAGGGCACCAAAGCCATCTCCATAAGAATGCAGTTTACTCTAATGTTTTGGAACAAGGATGGTATTGATCAGTAACCATAGCTACTGTCGTGTGGGAAATGCCGGTCTTTTCATTTGTTTTTATATTCCTTTGTAACCTCAAGCGCATCTCACTGTTCTTTTCACAGTGTTTGCTGTTTGTTTTTTTACACAGGACAGTACTGCAGATGAGATGTAGAAGCTCAGTCTCCATGGAAACAGTCTTTGAATGTCTTTACTTGACATGCTAGCCATGTTGTTATCTTGTCAGATGATAAATAACTATTTTGTGGGCATGGAACATAATCTGGAGTTTTTCTCAGACTTTCACCCCAAAAACCAGTGAAACCATCCATATAATTTCAACCCGTCCTACCCAACAGTCTTCAGCCTCTCATAGTTAGAGGACTTTTAGCACCGTGACTTTGATGCCAGAGATAAATTGCATTGCACAACACTCCACCCAGGTCTGAACAGACACTCGCTACCATGCAGCATTCCAGATGCATGCAGACTAATATGACCTCACAAATGCGATCACTTCACTAGTCTTTGTCAATTTCTTTGGGATATGTATTCATATCCATGCACCCAAAAAATTGATTTATTCATACTGTACTCATATCACTGATCACAAGCGTGTATCTTTATTCAAACACATTCTCACTGAGTTACCACACAGAAGTCAACACACCACTACTTCCCGCCCTGCAAGAGGAAACCCAAGAATAATGTTGAATCTCTGTCCGTGTTCATTCTTCCATTCCTAACCCAGTATTATCCTTACCACCTTCTCTGTTCACATCTGCCCTCCAATTTAGGATGATCACACTTCTGAATCATATGATTGATAGCCTTGAGATCAGAATCTTGTTAAAATACTATTACCAAGGACAGTTTTACACTTTATCTATTCTGAATTCTTCCCCATGTTGCATATAGAAAGTCTGTAATCATGCTAACCAATGTATTTTTACAGTCAGTATCCAACTGTGGCTGTTGTAAGAAATATGTTGCAGTCCCAGTAGCCATTTAATGCAATTCCGCTTAAAGCCCACCGCTAATTATATCTGTTGTTATAATTAAATGACTGATCTGAGCAGCTATGCTTTTATTGCCTACTGTTCATGAAATGATTGCCTAACAATGTCTAAAACCAAGATGTACTAGAGTGTAGAGTGCCACCCTAGAAGACGTGAGAAGAGCAAAGACCGAAAGCTAAAATAGCAACTGTATTTAAACATCTTGATAGAGCACATCATGGTATGGTTTCACAAACAGTGTTTCTGAGTATGTTCATGTGCCCAGCTTCCGTTTCAGCCGCACAATACTCGGAACGGTTTCTGTTTATCATTGAGAGTGGATACACACGTTCATTGCAGCAGTTAAATGTTCACATGTGATTTTGAGTTTTGTTTCCGGCAGGAATAGGACCATAGCAGTTTTTATACTAAGCAAAGCTTATACCAGAGACTTCCCCCTTTCTCCCTCTTCATCTTCAGCTACAAGGCCACTGTCAATTTACACAGCTGAAATCATTTTCCTGCCTCAAAAAATGGGCTTTTTCCAAGTGCATGAGCACCAGTACGGGGAATGTCCAGCATGCATTCAGCCCTGACTTTCTTGTCATTTGACCCTCTTTAAAATCTCACATCTTTTACTCCAGGGCAGGCTCATAATTTTTTTCCGATCATTTCTTTTTTCATTCCTGAAACACTTAATTGAAAGTTTCTTGTATGTAGAGGCTAATAAGGACCGCTCTGAAAAATTCTGAGGCTGCAACTGGGACTGTGGTGTCTGAGTAGGATTTAAAACTAACATTTTGAAAAACTTCACTGATGCCATAACAGAAGTTTTTAAAACACGTGAGCGGTAAATGGTTGGCTTGGGCAAAACGCTGATTTCCACATATTTGTATATTTGTGTGTGTAATATAGAAAAGAAGCCCTACATTGCTTGTGTCATTGTGTAGTATTTTATAAGTGCTGTGTTAGTGTCGGTGCTTATGAACAAATATAGTGACCAAAAAGACCCAAAAACTGCCATATAGATATTAATGTATAAAATATGTTTTATTATTATTATTATTTCTTTAAAGACATTGACAGCGTCAGTTATAATACCAACTAAAGTTTAAGTGAAGAAAAAAAAACCATTAAGCACTGATAGAGAAATAGATTCTATTGTACTAATCCCTTGAATCTTTTCACTTTTATGTTGCCAAACACAAGTGTCTATTCCATCATTTAACTCGTGACTCTATAGTTATGTTTAGAAGGTAAAGGATTTCTTTTGAGAGGCAAATTTAATCAATTAGTGACTGAAAGATTTAGATTACCAAAAGATGACAACTTTGGTTTCCTTAGCATTACAACCATAGTTGAAGTATATGTAAATACGACATTTGGAAAACCAATTTAAATAACTGCTGTCCATGGAAAGTTTAAATGGTGAAAGATTCCTTAAGCTTATTTGCTGTATTTACTTGCCCTCCCTGTATGCCTGCTTGCATGTGTCTGTGTGTGTGTGTGTGTGTGTGTGTGTGTGTGTGTGTGTTCATGTGTGTGTGTGTTCATGTGTGTGTGTGTTCATGTGTGTGTGTGTTCGTGTCTAAAAATACCCTGTACATTTCCCGACATCTCCACACCTACATGACACAGCTTTAAATTCCGTCACAGAATCATTTGCCTCATGGTCTCTCCAAGGGATGCTTGGAGAGAACATCCCGCCACCACAAAATGTGTTTTTTTGTTTTGATTGGTGCACCCTTCTGTGTTTCTACAGTAACAGCAGAGAGGGCTGGAGTGTCAGTGTTGATATAGAGCCTTAGTCAACACGAAGTGGCCGTATGGTTGGATCCATAATGGATCAATCAATGTTTATCATCACATTTTTCACATG